TATTTTAATATATTTTATTATAAAAATCTCCCCCGGTTTTTATTCTCTTTCTATCGTGAATTGTCAATTAAGTATATACTTACTGGCTAGTAATTTAACTAAAACATTCATTAAAATATATATCAATAAAAATAATATTATACAATTTAAAAAACAATTATAATTAAACTTATACTTACAACCTAATAATTTAACAAAATATTTGTTAAAATATATATTGTTAGAAGTAAGAATTTATAAATTATCAAATAATAATTTTAAAAAGGAATTATATTAAAATACAAATATCAATAGAAATAAAGATATATAAATTATAAATAATTTTAACACTAACTATAATTAAGCTTATACTTACCAGCTAATAATTTAACAAGAACATATATTAATAGTATTTATTATTAGAAATCGTGACATAGATTATAAAATAACAATTTAAAAAATAATTTATAATTAAGTTTATACTTGCTTGCTAATAATTTAGCAATATTTATTAAAATACATATTTTTAGAAATAAAAAAATTATAAATTATCAAATAATAATTTTATATTTATCGCCTAATAATTTAACAAGAACATTTATTAAAATATTTATTATTAGAAATAAAAACGTATAAATTATAAAATAACAATTTTAAAAAATAATTATAATTAAGCTTATACTTACACGTTAATAATTTAACAAGATCATTTATTAAACTATTTATTGTTAAAACTAAAGATACATAATTATTATTAAACAATAATTTTATTAATAATTATAATTAGCATATAATTACCAGCTAATAATTTAACAAGAACATTTATTAAAATATTTATTATTAGAAATAAAGACGTATAAATTATAAAATAACAATTTAAAAAAATAATTATAATTAAGCTTATACTTACTCGCTAATAATTTAACAAGATCATTTTCAAAATATTTATTATTAGAAATAAAGACGCATAATTATTATTAACCAATAATTTTAATAATCATCATTAGCATATAATTACCAGCTAATAATTTAACAAGAACATTTATTAAAATATTTATTATTAGATATCGAGACGTATAAATTATAAAATAACAATTTAAAAAATAATTATAATTAAGCTTATACTTACGCGCTAATAATTTAACAAAAATATTTATTGAAATATATATTATTAAAAATTGAAGCATATAAATTATAAAATAATAATTTAAAAATAATTATAATTAAGCTTATACTTACCCATTAATAATTTAACAAAAACATTGATTAAAATATGTATTATTAGAAATAAAGGCGCATAAATTATAAAATAACAATTAAAAAACAAAATAATTATAATTAAGTTTATATTTACGTGCTAATGATTTGACAAAACAATTATTATTAGAAATAAAGACGTATAAATTATAAATAACAATTTAAAAAATAATTATAATTAAGCCTATACTTGCTAATAATTTAACAAAAACATAAAATACCAATTTAAAAAATAATTATAATTAAAGCTTATACTTACGGGATAATGATTTAGCAAAAAACATTTATTAAAATATTTTTATTAGAAATGAAGACGTGCAAATTATAAAATAAAAATTTAATAAATAATTGTAATTAAGCTTAGACTTACTTGCTAATAAATTAACAAATCATTTATTAAATATTTATTATTAGAAATAAAGAGCATAAATTATTAAACAATAATTTTAAAATACCGTATTTTCGCGGAATAACGCGTAGGGCGTTATTCCGCGAAAATACGGTAATTATAATTAAACTTATAATTACCTGCTAATAATTAAAAAAAACCATTTATTAAAATTAGGGCTCTGCAAATGCCCATGCCGAGCAAATTGACACTATGCCAGGCACTAGTACCTCATGCCATGCCCATATCTATAGGCTCAAAAGTGCCAGGAATTATTATAGGCATGGGCACAAATGCCAGGCATTTTTATAATCATGGGCACAAATGCCAGGTACTTTATAGGCATAGGCACAATATGCTAGGCAAAAAGATGCCAAGAAGTGCCAGGCACAAGTGTCAAATAGTACTAAACATATAATTAATTAATAAATAAATAACTTTTGTGCTCATGCTTATGCTTATGCCAAGTTTTGTGCTTGTGCCCATGCCTATGCCAAATTTTTGTGCCTGTGCCCATGCCTATGCCATATTTTTATATTAGCATTCATGCCCATGCCTGAATTTTTGTTGGATATAGGTACGAGCCCAGGTTGCAGACCCCTAATTAAAATATACATGATTATAAATAAAATTTTATAAATTATTAATAAATTTAATAATAAACTTACTAGCTAATAATTTAACAAAAAAATTTATTAAAATATTTATTATTGGAAATAAAGATACATAAATTGTTATTAAACAATAATTTTAATAATATACAGTATTATAATTAAGCTTATACTTACGAACTAATAATTTAACAGTTAAACAAAAACATATTAAAATATTTAAATTATCATATATCATTTTAAAATAATTATAATTAAGCTTATACTTACGGGCTAATAATTTAACAAAAACAGTTATTAAAATATTTTTATTAGAAATCAAACTGTATAAATTATAAAATAACAATTTAAAAAAATAATTATAATTAAGTTTATACTTACACACTAATAATTTAACAAAAATATTTATTAAAATATATTTATTAAAAATCAAGACATATAAATTATAAAATAATAATTTAAAAATTAATTATAATTAAGCTTATACTTACGAGCTAATAATTTAACAAACATTATTAGAAATAAAAATTTATAAATCATTGATAATCATTTTAAAAAATAATTATAACTGAGCTTATACTTATGGGCTAATAGTTTAACAAAAATATTTATTAACGTATATATGATTAGAAATAAAAATCTGTCATTTAAAAATAATTACAATTAAGCATATTGATACTTACAGGCTAATAATTTAAAAAAAGCATTGATTAAAATATATATCAATAAAAATAAATATATATAAATTATCAATAATGTTAATAATAATTATAATTAAGCTTATACTTACCAGCTAATAATTTAACAAGAACATTTATTAAAATATTTATTATTAGAAGAATATTATTTATTTTCGCCAGTGGTAATATCACCGATTACGTGATAAACCTTGTAAACGTAAAATAGTAAGTCAGTCGCTAATCGGTCAGATCTCTCGTATAACTACTTGGAAGGGTAATTCGAGTCAAAGAAGGCATGTTAGATTTGGTAAGTGGTTTACTTAGGAATAACTGAGTTTTACCGATAACGAAAGTGTCAGGTTGGTGTTGAGTAAATACTAGTGTACGTTATTTGATTACAAGTTAGAGACAAATTAATTACAATGTTTATAATTAATAAAGTTATTTATGCATTTATTATCATCAAGCAGTTTTATTTGAATAGTTATAGATTGTATCGATTATTTATTGTTTGCAAAGGGGAAGTTGTTCTTCTCAAAAGGCCTTTTAGTCTTTATTTATAATTAAAATTTTCTATTTATATTATGCAAGGAATACAACTGATATCTCTGATTCTATTAATACATCATATCCCACTGATATTTCTCCAAATACATATCTCTGATATCCATCACATTCATTACATTTGTCACATGCAACAAATCAGTCACATGCGATAAATGCGACGAATGTGATCGACCCTCTTTTTCTGAATTAGGTGATGAACCCCAACCGGCCAGGGTTCATCTGTGCCCCACAACCTTCACACTGACCAATCAGATAACATTGTGCATCGACATATAATTAAAAATCTTTTAATACATATTGCAGTTCTGTTTTTCTTAACCATAGTGAATAAGAATACTATCTTGATTTATAGCAGAAATAGTGTCTGAGCCAAAGTGAATCTATCTCACTTTGATAAATCACAAATTAAATATTTATGTTGGATATAATCCCTTATCAGTTTTAATGTATTTGTAACATTTATTATCAAAATTTTTAAGCAGATTTATATCGATATATAGCATTTAATTGATATATATCAATTAAAAATAATCAATATATATCAATTAAATGATATATATTGATATATATCACTAATAATAAATAACAATTTTTGATATATAATGATATTAAAATGATTATTATTACTATTGATTAGTAATGAATTTTTATTATATATTATTACTAATTACTTATGATAATACCTTACAGAAGTGTTATATATCAATAATAATATGAACATTATTATTAATATATAGCATTTTTAAAATTTAGTGATTTTAGTCACAATCTAAAGCATTGGTAACAAAAAAATAATAGAAAAAAAAAATAAGAATCTTATTTTATTTCTTTTTTGTATACTTATAGTACTTGTTGAAATTCAAGTAATAATAGATTACAGCATCTGTGAAATTTAAATAATTATAGTAAGTTTTTTTTTGATAGTAATTGTTATAATACAGTATACAATTAATATAAAAAAATATTTTAAACTTAAAACTGGATTTAAAAAAAGTATACAAATTATAATGAGTCTTAAAAGTAAATCATTTTAAAAATATCTTCTGAGTTTTTTCTTTTAACAATATTAAAGTTAAATTCTCAAACTAAAGATATATTTAATAATAAAAACTTTTTTTACTCTGTTTTGTATAGTAAATTATTATTAAAAAATAATATATACTTACTTATAATATTTAAAAAAATTAAATTGCTGCCAAAGATGCAATTAAATCACCAATTTACAACTAATTATTTTTTGATTTGAATGAATAAATTATTTATAATATATTTAGTAAGCCTCTTGACAACTTAATATTATCTTTATTAAAACTACAATCTGAAAATATTACTGTTTCTAAAGACATCAACAATTTTAGAGGTATTAATAATCTTGAAAATATCAACAATCATGAAAATATTAATAATTCTGTAAACACTAATGATCCTAAAGATATTAATAACTTTAAAGATGATTTTAAAATTATTAATGATTTTGAAGACAACAATAATTTTAAAAACATTACCAATTCTAAAAATTTTGATATTGTTATTAAATTAATTACTTCTAATATTAGTTTTTTTATAAATATCTTTTAAGAAAAGATTTAAATATTATAATAAAAAAAATAAGTTCAAACTAATAAAAAGTTGGCAAGATATAAGGAATAAAACTAAAAATATTATTTATTAGTATTTTAAATATAAATATTTTGAAAATCCAAAATTAAAGTCTGATATTACCTAAAAAAACTAATTCAAAAAAAATACAATATGAATAGTAATATAATACTAATTATAAAAAATCTAGAAAAAAATTTTTTTTTAATAAACTTGTTAAAATGCATAATTATAGTCTTACATATATCATAAAGAGTTTATTTTATTTTTGTGATAATTGTTATAAGAAGTTCTAGATGAAATAAAGTTTATAATACAAAAATATGAATATAATGCTTGTTAACAAAAATACTATCTTATTAATAAGTTTTTTAGAATTAATATATATTTTAAAGATTTTTATAATGTAATATGCTAATATAAAACTTTTATTACTACTAATATAAATAAAGATATCATTGTAATCTTAAATATTTAATTTTAAAACAGTATAAAATTCTAGATTGAAAAATTAGTATATATTTTAAAAGTGTTAACACTTTCTTGATTTATTTGTTTTGGCAGAATTCTAATTAATATTAGTTTTATAAACAATATTATAATATAATTATAAATGATAATGCTTATAATACCAATATTTATTGTATGTTACTAAATATTTTTGTGAATATTAATTCATACAATAGAACAAGATTACTTATAAGTATTAGTTCAAAATAAAATACAAGTTACTTTTGAATAAATTTTATAGTTTTTAAAAACTTTGAACAATAATATTACTTTACAAATGATCTTTACAGATAGTAATTCTGAGATAGCAGTTGCAATTTATAACATATTTTTTAATACCAAATATAGACATTGATAATTTTTATTAAATAAAATATTTATAAAATTTTGTAAGAAAACTTATATATAATCAATACAAAAAATTTTAAAACAATTTTATTATGCATATAATAGTAAATATGTAAAACTTTTTAAGAATAGATGACAATAATTATTAAATAATTTTTCTAAATATAAGTGATGCTTAAATTAATTATATAAATTCCAAAATGTAAAACTTTGGTTTACATATACTTAACATTTTGTGCTAGTATGAATAGTATCTAATATATTAAAAGTTTTAATGCTATTTTAAAGACTAAAGTTAGAACACAAACTACATTTACAAAATTAGTAAAAAGTATTAAAAAGTGAATCAATAATAAAGCCAAATATCAACATAAATCAGAATATCAAAATCAGTTTTCATTTATTAGTTTGTTTACAATATATAGTTTTTTTTAAAATTAATGGAATCTTAAAAAAATATTTAATTACTGAAACACTTAAGCTTCAAAAACTTCAAATAAACTAATTATGTCTTTATCATTTCTACTAAATTGATTTGTTAACTTTTAATTAAATAAATATTAAAGTTTGAAACTATGTTATTTTTTAGTATTAAGTTTAAAAATTAAAAATTATTATTAATTATTTATTTAGTTAATATAATTATTTTAATTATGCTAATAAATTTCTTGAAAATAATTGCTAAAAAAGTTGTATACTATTTTTATTAATATTTAAATTAGTTGAAATTTAAAACATTTATAAGATTTGGTATATTAAATTATTTAACAATTTAGTCTTTTGTAATAGATAATATATTGTAGTTTTAGATAATAGTATTTATTTATACTTCTGTATATCACTTATCACTAAAGATTTTTTATACTAATATTTTTTTTCAATTCTAATTGTCTTTTTACTCAAATACAAATAATATCTTAATAATAGTTTATAAGTTTTATAATACAATTGAGCAACCAATTATTATTCAGATTACAAATAATATAACAGATATATAAAAAATACAAAATAATAAATTAAATAATAATTTTACATTTATTGAACAACTCTAAGGACCAAATTGGTTTAATTATAAAATTCAACAATATTTTTTTAAAAAAAGCTAAATATTGTTAAAATATTAAAATTACTTAAAAAGAAATACAGCTTGTTCTTAACACTAATATAATAAATAAATTTATTAGATTAATATATAATTTAATTAAGTCAAAATTTATTAATTTAATAATTCTTTGGATAATTTTAGAATAGTAATAAATATTCATATTATTTTACACTATGGTCAACCAAAAAAATAATTACAAGATTTTTTAAATTATATTAATAGACTAGGTTTTTAAAAAATTCTTAAATCTAATAAAGTACTTCTTGAATTTAATATTACAAACAAGTTAATATACAAATATTCTTACTGTAATAATACTGATTATTATATTAAAACTTGCAGTTCAAATTCTAATAACAAAAAATAATACAAATTAAAAAAATAATATTAGTATTGATAGCAAATGTGATAATTTAGTGAAGTGAATAAGTTGTCAATTCTTCAAGTGATAAATTGTGAATACAAAATCTACTAATACCAAAACTTTAGATAATTATCTATATAATACATAGACAGTATTACAGTAACTGCATTCTGTTAATTAGTTAAAATAAGATACCTGTAATTATAATCATATCAATATAACTGGCAGATCATAGACATTTGTGTAATCTTAGTTATACAAAAGGATGCAAACTGGTATCAGATAGTGCAAATCTAAGATAAGTTCTTATGTCATATAAATTTATAAAATTGAGAAACTAAAGCCTACTTGAAAATACTGAATAGAAAAATAGTATAGATCTTTGATAGTACTACTATAAATGCTAGATTTAGAAAACAAATATCAATATAGAAGAATCAGATAAACAAGAACCTTGGATAAGAGGTATTACCAATCAGACCACTAGATTTTTGTCTAAAAAAAAAAGATATCAGACTGATCTTAATATACCAAGAACAAGTTAAAGTTCTTCTAGACTATCTGAATTGGAAGTCTGAGAACAAAAAAAAAAGTATACTAAAAGTACTAAAGATATGCTATAAAGTTAGTGTCAGAATTTGGATGAACTTTGCAAAAAATAATCTTTATTAATGTTCTGTAAAGTAGATAGGTAATTAACAAGAGGAATTTTTGCACTTTATTAGCAGATATCATATTCTAAAATATATAACAGTCTAAGAACTAGTACAAAAAAAATAGATATTATACTGCTCAAACAGTATACTAGTTAGATATATATGAGAGCATAATAGTGTTACATTATAACAGAATAGATAATCAGAGGATTTAAATAAATAATCTTCTACTAGGTTATAGGCAATGTTGACAATAAATAAGGTCTATTGAGAAAATTATCAATGGACTCAATAGAGTGAATGGAATGGTATTCATTGGCTCCATTGACTTCATTGACTCCATTGAACCAACCAAACATACTTATATAATATTAATATATTCTATAGTTGTTATCTAAAACCTGAAACTATATATAAATTTTGAAACCAAAACCCGAAACTCTTTCTGAAACTTTAACACTACTGAAAGGCTTAGAAATTTAATTTTAAATGTTAAGACTTAAAGTATAGTATAATTAGATTGCATTTCAGAAAAATTTTGGTTACTTTATAACAAATGTGCATTAATTATTAACATTTCAATTTTAAAGTTTTGAAATAGTTTCAGGTTTTGGATAACAAGTATAATATATTCTAATTTATATAATCATTAATAACTTTTAATTCACTAATCTATTTTGAATGGTTTAACTATCAAAATGTTCGTCTCATCAAGACGAACATTTTGATGGTTAAAGCATCCAAAACGGATCAGTGGATCAAAACTTATCAATGCTTTTATAAATTAAAATATATAATATATAATATATATATTATATAATTTATACATAGTACTTATAGTATCTTGTTGAACTTCATTGGCTCCATTGACAAAATATTCTCAATGGAGCAATGGACCAATGTCAATGGAGGTCTACTCCATTGGACCCAATGTATAAATGTGCCAATCCTGATTATAGGTATAGCATTTAGTATAGAATCTTAAAGTAGACTACTTAAATAGACAATTAAAAGTTGTATATATAACTAGTTGTACTCTTATCTTTGTATAAAATAATTGCAATAACTAATCTAATAAAAGTTAATAAAATTCTATTATAAAATATAATTTTTAATATAAAAAAAAAAAAAAATTAATATTAACTACTAAAATTTTTAATTAATTTAATTTTATATAATGAAGTGTAACAACTTAGTAAAATGAATAAGTTGTCAACTTTCCAATAAGTTCAAAACCTACTAACAGTAAAAATTTGAATAATCATCTATGTAATATATAGATAGTATTATAGCAACAGTATTCTGTTGATTAGTTAGAATAAGATACTTGTAACTACAGTTACACTAGCATAACTGGCAAGTCATAAGATATCTGTGTAATATTAAAATTATACAGAAGAATACAAACTAGCATTGGATAGTGCAAACCTAAGATAAGTTCTTATAACTATATATAGTTATAGAACTGAGAAGTCAAAACTCACTTGAAAAGACCTAAATAAAGAGATAGCATGAATCTTTAACAATATTATTATAAAAACTAGATCTAGAAAACAGATACTAATATAAAAGAGATCAAATAAGCAAAAACTTTAAATAAGGAATATTACCAACTAGACTATTAGAAGTTTCAAACTAGAAAAAAAAAACTTTAAAAAGCAAGCTTTGAGATACCAAAAATAGGTTATAGTCCTTCTGAGTTATTTAAATTAGAAGTCTAAGATCGAAAGCAAAATATACTATAAGTACTAAAAATATATTATGAAGTTAATACTAGGATCTGAGTAAACTCTACAAGAATAAGCCTTATTAATAAGGATTAAATATGGGTAGTTAGTTAACAAAAGAATCTTCTAAAGCCTTACAGTTAGGTAACATATTTTGAAATATATAACAGCTTAATAAATATATAAAAAGAAAGGTCAAAATTAGGTTAGACAGCACTTAGATGTATAAGAACTTGTGTGCTATCTGTCAATATAAGTATAGGAATTAG